TTTTGTTCCCCCCCCCCCCCCCGCCAAAGCCGGCTCAGGGCGGCTTACATAAAATCAATACATAATTTACAATAAAATGTGACGCATTTGAATCAAAACAATTCTAAAATCATTTAACTGTACAGCTCAATAAAGTGCTAATAACAATAATTCGCGATGGCTGTGGTGACACAATCCACTCTTCGTATAGTTGGTTCCTCGATCTCCTTATAGCTATCCTTCTGGTGACTGGTACCAACTGTCATTAAGAGTTCCGGGAGACAAAAGGGCTCTCTCGCCTTCAGCTGTCAGTGGTCAGTGGTTGACGGTGGTGGTTAGGACTTGTATTCCTTTGGGGAGGGATGGGGGTGAGAGAGCAGCTGCTCCCCACCCAAAGTTTTTTTGCAGGCCTGGTGGGCTGACTGCCACGTGGGGGTGGGGGAGGCGGCAAGAGCACCCTCCAGCTTTCTCAGGCTCCGCCCTTGCCCTTGTTCCGTGACACAGTGGACGGCGGAGAGTGGGACCTGCTGATTGCTCACTTCTTGGGCGTGGATCACTGTGGCCACAAGCACGGGCCGGATCACCCCGAAATGCGCAGCAGGCGGAACACCAGGGCACGGGGGGGCCTCCCGTTGGCCTCCCAAGACACCCCCCCTTGCACCCGGCGAGCGCTCTCGATCTCGAGGGGTGGGGCATCCGGCTGCCAGCCCAGCATGGCAGGAAGTGTCTTCTGCAGGAAGGACACGGCATCGCTGCCTTCGACGCCCTCCGGCAAGCCCAGGAGGCGCAGGTTGTTGCGGCGGGGGGGGGCGGCCCGGGGGGGGGGGGGGGGGGGGGGGGCCGGAGCGGAGGGGGGGGGGGGGGGCTCTCCCCTGCTGGCTGCAGCGGCTCCGGGTGCTCTCGCCAACACCCTGACCAGGTGCTCCTGGGGGCGGGGGGCGGGGCCTGCCCACAGGCTAAAGACCCAGGAACTCTGGGTAGCTGGAATTGGGAGCTGACTTGACTGAGGTCACACACGTGGGGACTGACCTTGGTCGCTCACGGCTATGCCCTCTGGGGAAAGGAGGCAGGCTGGGGCCAGGACTCCCTGGCGGAGCATGTGTTTTGCATGCTGAAGGCCTCAGGCTCCGTTCCCAGCAGCGTCTCCTGTCCCGGGACCTGTGGTAGCAGGGCCGCAAAAGACTCTTGCTTGGCACCTCAGAGTCTGTTTGAAAGAACCCCCTCGGCTCATGTTGCCTCCCAGAACACGTGATCCGTTATCCCAGAGCTGGCGTGATCCAGGAGCCAAAAAATGACCGGCTGTTTCATTCACTAAGGTCCTGCAGGATGCTCTTTAAGTCCCCGGTAGGGATAGGGGCGGGCGTCCACCCCAGCTGGTTTCTGTGGGCTGCTAGAGCAGGGTAGCGGCTGAAGTCCCCTTTTGTCGACGGACAGGTCTTTGGTTGACCACCTGGCGAATGACACGCTGCTCATTGTGGCAGGGGACCACGGCATGACGAGCACCGGGGACCACGGAGGAGACAGCGAGGAGGAGGTCGATGCCGCTCTCTTTGTGTACAGCAAGGCCCCCCTCTTCCAGGACCCGCCCCCTGAGGTGAGCTGTGGGGGGCGGGGAGACTGCCATGAGTGTGAGCTGCTCGGCCAAAGGATCTTCGCATTCCCTGATCTCAGGACACCTTTTGGGGGCTGATGCAGACCACCAGTTCCAGAAGAGCCCTGGGACAGGATTGGGGAGGCCCAGGTTTGATTCCCCACTCCTCCACTTGCACCTGCTGGATGACCTTGGGCAAGCCGTAGTTCTGATAAGAGCTGTTCTCTCAAGGGCAGTTCTCTCAGAGCTCTCTCAGCCCCGCCTCCCTCACAAGGTGTCTGTTGTGGGGAGGGGAAGGGAAAGGAGACTGTAAGCCGCTATGAGACTCCCTTGGGTAATGAATGAATGAATTTATTCATGGTCATTGACCAAGATATAAACCGCTTTACATTTTGTAACATAGAAAAAAAACATCACGTTATAACAGTAGCTAAATTTTTAAGACTGATTATAAAAACCATAAAACCTTAATGGTTAAAATTAATAAAACTAAACCTTAGTTCTCCTCTTTTCAAGCTAATTCTTTGGGCAAGCCATCCAAACCCAGCCACCCGATAAGTAACTTCTGCCCGGCTATCTGATAGCAAATTTCTTAAAAGGCAGATTCCTTGCCTAAGAGAGAGGGGGAGTGTCTTAGGGAAAGGGAGAGACTCATGGATGTTATTATATGCTTTACAATCAAAGATTACATGTTCTGCATGTAATCTAGTGAAGGGCGGGGTATAAATCCAATCTCTTCTTCTTCTGCCATGGAAGCTCACCAGGTTGCCTTGCACCAATTGGGCACTTGCAGCCTAGCCTACCTCACAGGGGTGTTGTGAGGATAAATGGGGAGAGCAGAATAATGTTGGCCGCTTTGTGTCCTCGTTGGTGGGGAGAGGCAGGGCATCAGTGAAGAAACCGAAGAAGAGAGCTGTGTTTTACCCATGCTCTTTACCCGGGACAAAGTAGAACGG